ACATTCCGATGTTTGCAAAATGTCGGTAAGATCTCTTGGTGGTGCTAAGTACCTTTTGACTTTTATTGATGAATTTTCCAGAAAAGTTTGGGCCTTCACTTTGAGGACCAAAGATCAAGTACTAGGTGTATTCAAGCAATTCCAAGCCTCGGTTGAGAGAGAAACTGAAAAGAAGATCAAGTGCATTCGCATTGATAATGGAGGAGAGTACATTGGGCCATTTGATGCATATTGCAAGCAGCAAGGTATTAGGCATCAATTTTCTCCCTCAAAGACACAACAGCTGAATGGTCTTGCTGAGAGGATGAACATGACAATTGTGAAGAGAGTTAGATGCTTGTTACCAAGTGCAAAGCTACATAAACACTTTTGGGGTGAGGCTTTGATGACTGCAGTTTATCTTATTAATCTCTCACCAAGTTATCCTTTGCAAGGAGATGTTCCTAACAGGGTCTGGTGTGACAAGGACGTCTCATATGACCACCTGAAGGTTTTTGGGTGCAAGGCCTTTGTTCATATTCCTCAAGATGAAAGGTCAAAGCTTGATTCGAAGACACGACAGTGTATCTTTCTTGGCTATGGTGGTGATGAGTTTGGCTACAAGTTGTTTGACCCTATAGCAAGGAAAGTTGTTAGAAGCCGTGATGTTGTGTTTGTTGAAGACCAAACAATTGAGGATATTGTGAAGACAAAGGGGCAGGTTCCTCCTCCTCAGCAGCAAGACATGATTGATTCTGACCCAGTTCCTGCAGCTCCAGCTCATGTGCATGTTGAAGCAGATGCAGAAGATGTACAAGATGATGTACATGGTGGTGCAGGTGAAGAAGATGCTCCCCAACAGCAGCAGCAAGAGTATGATGCTGAATTTGATGATCCGGATCAACAGGAAGCACCAGCACCAGAAAGTCCACCAGCTGCTCCACTCAGAAGATCCAATAGGGGTCGAATTCCTTCCAGCGGGTATCCCTGAGATCAATGCGTGGTGTTATTATCTGACGGTTCAGAACCTGAATGCTTTGCAGATGCAATGGAAGATGAGCACAAGAAGGAGTGGAAAAAGGCTATGCAAGAAGAGATGGATTCCTTGCATAAGCATCATTCTTATGAGTTGGTGAAGTTTCCCAAGGGCAAGAAAATTTTGAAGAACAAGTGGGTCTACAGAATCAAGCAAGAAGAGCACACATCATATCCAAGGTACAAGGCCAGGCTAGTTGTAAAAGGATTCGGCCAGAGAAAAGGCATTGACTATGATGAGATCTTTTCTCCGGTTGTGAAGATGACATACATAAGAGTAATCCTTGGCATGGAAGCAAGTCTCAACTTGGAGGTTGAGCAAATGGATGTGAAGACTGCATTTCTTCATGGTGAGTTGGAGGAAGAAATATACATGGAGCAACCTGAGGGGGTTTCTTGTGAAAGGCAAAGAAGACTATGTGTGCAAGCTGAAGAAAAGTCTCTATGGCCTGAAACAAGCACCAAGACAATGGTACATGAAGTTTGAAACTGTCATGGGGGAGCAAGGCTACAAGAAGTGTAGCTCAGACCATTGTGCGTTTATTCAGAGGTTCTCAGGTGATGAATTCATCATATTATTGCTCTATGTTGATGATATCCTGATTGTTGGCAAGAATGTCTCTAGGATTGCTAAGTTGAAGAAGGAGTTGAGCAAATGTTTGCCATGAAAGACTTAGGTCCAGCAAAGAACATTCTCGGAATGAGAATTGAGTGAGACATAAATTGCAACAAGTTGTACTTGTCTCAAGAGAAGTATATTGAGAAGGTACTTCAGAAGTTCAGGATGGAAAATGCTAAAGTTTGAGTTGTCCACTAGCAGCCCATTTAAAGTTGAGCAGAAAGCAATGTCCTACCACTGATGAGCAGAAAAAAGGAAATGCATCATGTTCCTTATGCTTCAGCGGTTGGGAGTTTGATGTATGCTATGGTGTGTACAAGGCCTGCCATTGCTCATGCGGTTAGTACTATGAGCAGATTTATGTCCAATCCAGGAAGACCTCATTGGGAAGCCGTGAAGTGGATTTTGAGATATCTCCGGGGTAGCACAAATCTGAAACTTTGCTTTGATGATGGTGAGGCCAAGCTGATTGCCTTTTCAGATTCTGACATGGCTGGAGATGTTGACAGAAGGAAGTCTACTTCAGGTTACTTGGTTACCTATGCAGGGGGAGCAGTGTCATGGCAAAGTAGGCTGCAAAAGTGTGTGGCATTGAATACAATTGAAGCTGAATTCGTTGTAGTAACAGAGGCGAGCAAAGAGCTATTGTGGCTGAAACGGTTGGCTTGTGAGCTTGGTCTTAAGCAAGACAAGTATGTGTTGTTTTGTGACAACCAAAGTGTTATCCACTTGAGTAAGAATGCAAGTTTTCATTCAAGGTCTAAGCATATAGAAGTCCGTTATCATTGGATTCGAGATGTGTTGTATTCCAAGAAAAGGCAATCTGAGAAGGTTCACACCGATGACAATGGGGCTGATATGTTAACTAAAGTGGTGACAAGGAAGAAGCTCGAAGTATGTCGCCGGCTCGCTGGCATGGCTGCCGAAAGGCAGTGAGACCCTCCATGATGTCGAAAGGGGGAGTTTGTTGGGCTAAGTCCCTCCACATGGAGGTGTGTTGGCAACCCAACATCAGCCCATAAGTCCAACACATGTCAGCCGTTGATCTTCGCTGCATCCAACGGTAGAGAGCGCTTCTAAGGAAAGTGAGGCAAGGAGAAAACCCTAGCCACTCCACACCGGCTGGAGGTGGCTGCCATTTTCGTGAGGGTGAGAGAGAGAGCACACAAGAGAAAACACAACCTGAGAGAAAGGAAGAAGAAGAAGTAGTGGTTCTGTCCAGATTTGCTGCATTTGACTAGACATTGTTCAAGCTGGTGGTTGGAGGCTCAAACGTGCTTGGATCGACCCCAAACTTGGTGAGCTCGTTCCTTACTTTGAGTACTTCGATCTGGTTAGCTGGTTTGAGGATTGGGTCGGTGGAGCATCAGATTTGAGAGTGGTTTTGTCAGCTCTGACTGCTGCAGTTTCAGAACAGAGTAGTTTTGGGAGATGAACAGTTTGGGTAGGCAAACGATGTCCGATTGAGCTGAAATTTGGAGGGGATCTCAAGAACTCGTGTGTCTACTTGTCTGCCAAATTTGATGTTGTTTGGTTCAGCGGTTTAAGAGTAGTTTGCAAAACACTAAAGGGTACAAAAGCTGTGTAAACTCTGCTTTGCTGAAATCTTGCCTCTTGTGGTTGTTGTTGCTGTTGCCGGTTGGCAACGTGGAGAGTGTGTTGTAAATCTCTCTAGAGGTTCTAGAGAAGACTTTGTACTCATCATTCTCATAGTGAAGTTGTGTGGACCGGTCGGTCCATGGCCGTGGTTTTTTACTCCTCAAGTTGAGGAGGTTTTTCCACGTTAAATCCTATGTCACATGTGCATGTTGTTTGTGTTATTCCGCTGCTTACTTGTTGGTTGAAGCTGTCCTCAAAGTTCATCACAAGTGAAGGGGGTTGTGTAGTGTGCATATTTGCCGTGTCGGTGAATTTGTGCAGCGCATTATTGCTGTCCAGTCCCAAAAATACATAATGTCCATATAATTTAGGGTGAGGTTTGCAGGTGGGCACCTTCAATAAGTCCCCTTAAAAACTCCACCTTGGTTTATGGCGGGCGGGTGACAGCGGCTTACAATGGACGGCGGTGGTCGCGACATGGTGGGTATGGCGATGATGTGTTGGCACGCCACTTTTTTTGAACACAGTACAGACGCAAGCGCTGATATAAAAGCGCATGCACTCACCCCTATGAACGCACACACGCACACCCTACCCCTATGAGCACCTCCCAAAGACTGAGACGGCATATCATCTTGAAATTTACGAAGTCACCGTAGGCACCTCGTCGTCGATGGGAACGTCTCCTTCCATTGAATGTGCATCGCCGGAAATCCTGAAATAAATCCAGTAATAAATGCGAGCACCAGGATTTGAACCCTAATGGATTGGGGATACCACAGTCCCTCTAACCATCCAATACAGGTTGGCTCGCGACATGCCATTTTTAGGGGTGTCCCTCTAACCATCTAACCACAGGTTGGTTCGCGGCGCGCCACTTTTAGGGGGAAGGTTTGCGGGAAGATCTTTTCCATGGCAGCGGTGCATTGGCATGACACTTTTAGGTGAAGGTTTACGAGACGATCTTTTTCCCATAGATACAATAGATACAGGAGAAGTTGGGCTGATTATACAAGGAACCCTAGAAAAATTTGCATTTACAGGATTTGTTGGAGAAGTTTTTTGGGCACAACTCACCCTGAACCAGGAAAGGGGATTTGTTGAAGATGCTCTTAGCTACTAAGAGGGCAGCCCGGTGCACATAGCTTCCACTTATGCAGAGTCAAGAAGGGTCCAAGCACTTTGAGTTCTTCCACTTATGCAGAGTCAAGAAGGGTCCAAGCACTTTGAGTTTTTTGTACCCAACCTTTTGCATTTTTGGACTCGGAACCCGTGACCTCACAGCAGCAAAGCAAACGTGATGGCATGCTTTGTCTAATGCAATGAGTTTCTGTGTGATATGAAAGTCTCATGGAGATGGGTCCGTCTCAAAGGGGCTGAATTTAGTTCCTAAAGACTTGAAAAGGTAAGTATTTCAGGTTTTAACTGTTCAAAATTCCATCCGCATAATGTGCTACTTCCCTAGTAGACGTTCAACCTCGAAGCAAAAAAAAAAAAAAACATTTCCGCTGCAAGACCAGAAAAAACAAACAGAAAACAGCTTGCTTTGCTTGTGTTCGCAGTATTACAGGATAAGCAAACCAGCTTGAGCTGCTGTTGATGTTTCGACACACACACACACACACACAAACAACATTTCCTTTTTCCGGAAGGTTGAAACTACACCACACACAGCCTACGTCTAGACGGCTGAGGGAAGATAATCTTCCCCTAACTGCAATTCACAAGAGACTCTATTATTGTTGTGAATTGCAGCAACTAAACTGGATCATATCCCCATCATGTGATCCAGGCCTGGCTGGGGAGGCACCCCCATGCCAGGTCCTCCCATGCCGCCCACAGTCACGTTATGCAGCAGTTGTTGCAGCCAGCGCCTTGTCGCGGGGTCATCCTTCGTTTCAGATATATAAGCACGATTAGTATCTGGTCGGTAACTTTGTTCCATTTGATTTCAGTTCATGAATGAATTGGTAACGACAGATATGTTAGCATGACTCACCCTAAGAGAGATGTTGAATGTCCCATCTTTCAGCATGTCAGGGAGGCAATTATGGAGTGCAACACAGGCCCTGCGGAGGAAGACAAAAATTAGCACATGGGAAGATAGATGTAAAATCATTTCGTGAAATACGAATGGCAGCACAAACCTGGGGTTATCTGACAGCCTGAGGTAACATCGGATAATGTGCTTCAGCAACCTTGTGGAAGGCTGATCAGCTAGTGATATTACCATATTTCCTAAAACGCTGCCCACAGCATAGAAACGCTCAGGGGTGGCACAGACGTAACGCAGTCCAATATCATCCAGCAGAATCTTTTGGACAATGAAGGTAGCGACCTGTTTATGCATATTTGATTAAATTAGTGAAATTGGACTGACAGCTAAGCAATTATATCACTATCTGTATAAGACCCCGTTTGGAGTAGCCTCAGCTTGTATTCTGCCAAAGAAATCTTAAGCACCTCAAAATATTCAACTCCTGTGGGTTATACAGGAAAGATGTTGCGAAAACGTTGGCATATTTATGTGTCCACAAAGTTATTGATCTTCCAGTCCAAGTGATAACTGATAATAGTAATATAGCGTTCCACAAGAACTTCAGACAGCAAAATAAAATTTTTGTAAAGAACAGCAATTTGATCTTTTCTAGGGCTAAACAGAAAAGAAAGATTGTGATAGTTAGACGAGGATTGAGATGGTCAGATACATACGGTTTTTGATAGTTCACTGCCCATCTCCATGGTACGCAAGCACAGAGGAATTATTTCAGTTTGCAGCAGAAAGCCGATAACTTCAGTATCATCAACCTGCATGCATAATAATGCGGTAAAGAAGCTTCTTCCAAAGGCAGGAAGAAAACATTTGGTATTTGGACACACATGCGGCTTATTCCAAAAGAAAGAAGAAAACATTAGATAGAACATTGCTTGTTTATAAGCTACTCAATTGTTTATCTCTTCATTACACAACAAAGTAACAAGGATGTATCCCTTGTGACCTTATTAGATTCATTGTTCATGCCAGGGTATTGGAATTAAAACAACATGAAGCTTCATTGGTTGTAGAATTAGTGAAAGGATCGTGTTTAATATATAACATTGCAGAGTTGGATGCATGATACAAAATTGGTTAGTTCACGTAACAATGTACAAAATATACTCCCTCCTTCCATCTATATAGGGCCTAATGCATTTTCTAAGACCGTCTTTGACTATTGACAAGATTAATAGTACATGACATGCACAATGTGAAAATTATATCATCGAAAGCTCCTTTCACACACGAATTTAACGGTGTGCTTTGTGTAAGTTGCATGTCATATATTATTGCTCTAATATTTGGTCAAAGTTAGCCTCGAAAAGCGCATTAGGCCCTATATAGATGGAAGGAGGGAGTACCTTAACAAGAGCACCGATGACACCCAAGCTGGTAAGCCGCAAGTACTCAAAAGGCCTTGTCTTGCTGAATGTATTCAGGAACGGGTACAAGAACAGCGGCACATGAGCTGAACGGAACAAATGGACAGAGAGAAGAAAATGAATCGCTAACAACAACAATATCAAAAGCCGAATGGCTCTTTTGTCATATCAAGCTACTAGGAATCAGGATACGTGAGACACAATGCAAATGGCTGAATTCGTTACCATGTAAGAAAGGGATTCTGGTGTCAGGGTGCGATGCAACACACTGCAATTATTGTAATACAAACACACAAAATTAGACAATAAAGATACGCAATAAATCTAATAACATGGGAACCTTCAAGCAATTTTGTGAATGTAATCCTTTTTATTTTGAGCTGTACCTGAAGAAGTGCAAGTGCGTTGCAGACTCGGTTTGATGCACCTGGCGACAAAACTGGGGGTGAAAGTGCGGGGTAGATGGACACAATTTCCTGCGGTTGTTTCCAAGTTATCAAATATACCAAGTGAGTAAGGCAGGTCAAACTTTGACAAGTTGCATCCAAAACAGCAAGTGCCGACTTGAAAACACGAATAGAATAGTGACTGCTTTCACAGTTGGACAACATAAACACATCATAAGGTAAAGAAGTAGGCTCATTGCTCCCAGTTATTTTATCTAATATTCGAAGCATACAAACCATAAACATCGAAGACAGATGAATTAAGCATACCTGAAGTAGTGCCGCAATTGTGCCAAAAGAGTGCCAGAGAAGCGGGGCCAGGTCTTGAAATATCTCTCGTTTCTGAAATGGCGAGTACATTTTTTGTTACTGATGTATAGCATGCTAATGACTGAACGAACACACAGTCTGCAATTGTTCAGTTCATGGCAACCCAAAATTAAGCTACAATCGCTCTGTTCATGATAACTTAAAATTAAGCTAGCATCGATCCTAGAGGCCACGAACCACAAAACCCGTCCTCAGTGACGAGGCGCTAGAACCCTAGAACTAGAAGAGCACGCGACGGACCTTCGACAGCTCGAGGAGGGCGTTCTCGCGCAGCTCGCGGTCGCAGAGGTCGAGCACCAGCTGCTCCGCCGACGCCATCTTCCTGGGCTCCTGCGCCGCCGAGGCAGCGCCGCCGGCGCCTCCACCGATCGAGGAGGGAGACGGCGGCGAGGCCCCTGCGAAGGAGGAGGGCTCGGGGACGGAAGACTGCAGGTTCGCCATTACTGCACAAAAACGGCGGAGCACCGTCACTAGTTTTTCCAGACAGAAAAGACAGCAACCGCAACCAATCGAGTCGCCATTCT